TTCATTTTAAAATTACATTCCTTTAGCTTCTCAGGTAATTGAGTTGTCAATTTACACGAAAAAGATTTTGGCGGGCTCGTACGCGGGTACCACGCTTACCCGGAGGCTGGGTTTGAGCCCACTAGTACCCGCTTGGGCGGGGAACACTACCGCAAGATTTCAGCCTTCTAGCTTCTCGTCTCGAATTATAAACTTGCCCGAAAAAATTTTGGCGGGCTCGTACGCGGGTACCACGCTTACCTGGGGGCTGGATTTGGGCCCACTAATACCGGGTTGGGCGGGGAACATTACCCCAAGATTTCAGGCTTCTGGTTTCTCAGATCCTCGAGTTATGAACTTGCCCGAAAAAATTTTGGCGGGCTCGTGCGGGTACCACGCTTACCCGGGGGGCTGGGTTTGAGCCCACTAATACCCGGTTGGGCGGGGAACATTATCCTAAGATTTCAGCTTTCCAGCTTCTCAGATCCTCGAGTTATGAACTGACCCCAAAAAACTTTCGTGGGTGCCACTGGTTTTGGCGCCCATTTTGGGGATTGGAGGCGGCACGTGCATGTAGATTAAATTCCCGAAATTTCAGCCCCGCAGCTTTTACAGGTCCTGAGATGAAAGTGCGTGACAGGCGCAAACACAGACACACAGATACACGGACACACAGGCAACCTCTCGTCAATATGCGTTTTTCGCATTGCATTACTGCAAAAAACGCATAAAAATGGTTTATATTACGCGGCCGAGCTAAATTTTAGTGGTGTGCGTCCGATTTTTTCTGTGAACCCAGGCTGGAACGCACCAGGCGGGCCGGTGCGATTATGCGTTTTTGACTTCTCGTGCCGTAGCAAGATTGCAAGGAATCACAGTAGTTAACCCTGTGACATACTGGTCTCGAAGTTCAGGAAGTCAATTGTGCAACTATGTGATATGTAGTTGTAGATGTCGGCTTCAGTGACCCGGCGAATGGAAAGGTGCTAGTCCGCAAAAAAAGGCCACACTAGAAGAGAGTTAAATTTGAAATCTTTTGGTCGCACATAAGTAGGGAACATTCCCTTAAAATTAAAGCCTTCAGCTTATCTTGTTCCGGAATTGGCAGTTTTCCCATCAAAAATTTCACGTGTCCGTAAGTGATTACCGGGCGGTTTTAAGGAGCTGAATTTAAAATCTTTTGGTCATACATGAGTAGGGAGCATTATCCTAAAGTTCCGGCCTTCTAGCTTTTTCCCGAGTTAGTGATTTTCGCGCCAAAATTTCCATGTGCCTGTACGTGGGCCCCAGGTGCTTCTAAACACCTGATTTTGCTCGTACATGAGTGGGAAACATTCCCTTGAAGTTTCAGCCTTCTAGATCTTCCCGTTCCTGGGTTAGTAATTTTCGCGCCAAAATTTCCGCGTGTACGCGCGTGGGCTCCGGGCACTTCTAAACACTTGATTTTGCTCGTACATGAGTAGGGAACATTCCTTTGAAGCTTCAGCTTTCTAGCTTTTACTGTTCCCAAGTTAATAATTTTCGCGCCAAAATTTCCACGTGCTCGTACGTGGGCTCCGGGCGCTTCTAAACACCTTATTTTGCTCGTACATGAGTGGGGAACATTCCCTTAAAGCTTCAGCTGTCTAGTTCTTCCCGCTCTCCGATTAGTAATTTTCGCGCCAAAATTTCCATGTGCCCGCACGTGGGCTCCGGGCTCTTCTGAACATCTGATTTTGGTCGTGCAGGTGTAGGAAACATCCCCCTAAAGTTTCAACCTTCTAGCTTTTCGCGTCCCCGAGTTAGTAATTTTCGCGTCAAAAATTTTCACGTGCCGTGAGCCCCAGGCTGTCCTAAGGAGCTGGGTTTGAAAGCTTTTGGTCGCACATGAGTAGGGAACA